TTATATTGGCGAGTTATTTTAATGGAATGCCCGATGTCCGATATTGAAATTTAACATTAATATCGGCCAATACCGATGCCATGCCGATAATATTGTGCAGCCCTAATATATATATAAAATTCTTTCAGCTGCTCCCTTCTTCAGGGGTCACCACAGTGAATTAACTCGTACAAGGAATTGCTTTTACCCCGGATGTCCTTCCTGACGCAGCAACAGACCACCGAGCTACCACAGCCCTCTGTGTGGAGCAGAGAGCTGCCAGGGCACCCGAGGGAGCAGATGGTGGAGGTTAAAGGCCTTGCTCAAGGGCTCAGAGTGGGGCAAACAAGGATGAAGGCAGGTGTAGGTGATTCACCGTTCCCACCCACATTTTGATGTTGTCGGTCCGTGGAGCTGAACAGGCGACATTCCAAAATACCATAGATAAATTCACACATTTGTCCACCAGACGTTTTTGACACATTGTCCAATAATCTTTTGTTACAACTGACAGTTTTTTGCAGACATTTTGTTTGAGGCTCAGTTTCTAGTTTGCATTCCTGTCTGCCTGTCTGATAAAGGTTTTTGCAGCCCACCTGTACAGTGTGGATTAAATATGTTCACATTGTCAGGGATAATGACTTTAGAACAATGTGGGTACATTTTAAATGGTAAATGGACTGTACTTATATATGGTAGCCCTTTTCTCTCTTAAGCACATTACTAGAGCTATAAAGAGAATAATCAGTGCTTTATCACATTCAAACAAAGATGGGACACACATCGGAGGCAATAAGGGGTTCAGTTTCTTGCCCAGGGACACTTCAGCATGTGACTGCTGGTGGAATCGAACCCCTAACTCTTGGATTGGAGGATGACTGCTCTTCAGCCACAGCTGCCCAAGTTTAAGTTATAGATTTATTTGAAATGAAACATGCCTGTCAATGATCTCCTGACTGAAGGAGCAGTTATGTCTGATGATACTGTGCATGTCGGTTGTGGAAGCGGTGAAGAGTGATCCCTGACAGTGGACATACGACGTGTTCACGGTCCCACGCAGGGATTTCCACCACAGGATTGTGTTGCAGCTTACAGATCCCTGTAGTGCCATGTAGATTATCAGCTTTGTTTGTTGCACACAAACATTTCTCTGCACTCCGCGAATCCTTAAAGATAATTATGTTTCGTAAACGGCAAAACCTCACGGTTTTCGCAACGTGAAATTTATTACTGTGGGTAAAATCTTTATGTATTTTGCTTCTGAAAAGCCAGACTTGATTGCAATCCTTTAAAGTGGGATCAGTTTTTCTCCTCTTTTTCCTCGTGGAGCCTCTTTTCTGCCAGTTTTCTGTTCTGTACCTTGTCATTTTCAGAGGGATGTGTTTTGTTGTTGTTAGGACAGCTAATTCATGCCAATGATAATTTCAGGCATACCAAAACTTTTCAACTCAAGAGATGAACCAGAGTTGTGTCGACACAGAACAGACAGATGTTTTAAGTTGGTTCTTTAGATTCGTTACCAGCAGATTGTCACAAAGACACAGTTTGCACCCATGGAAACAGAAACAACACAATCTGACACAGAAAACAATATTTTATGTCTAAGGTGATTCCCAAAGATCTGAGAACTTCTCATACAGATGGTCAACTGAAGGATGAAGCAAACCTCAGATGAACATCGGGTCTTTTCTGTTTCAGGATGATACATGAAGTTTCTCCATGCAGGGACGGGAACTTGAAGAGCCATAAAGGAGGCACAGAAAGATTCTTTTCATTATACAAATATTCCTCTGAAGCAGAAATTTATGGAAATATGTTGGTAAAATACTTCCCCCTTCAGATTGTTTGCTGCACATGTAGGTAACAGCAGGGTTGTATGGAAACTCAATGATGCCTCTCAGGTAAAAACAATACAAAAAAAACTTTCATCCATTATTTTTTCTTTACCCTCCGTTTTTGGTCGTGGGGAAGCTGGCACCTATCATCTTAAGTCACACATTTTAAATACTGGTACTAGCTCCACTGTATGACTTAGCATCTCTCAAATGTGTTATACAGTACGTTCTCATATTTACAAGTTAATGTTACACCCCTGTAAAGGGGAAAAGTTAAAACAGACACAGACATGGTGTTACTTCTGTCACGTCCAGTGTTGCAATGGACGAGCAGAAGTGACACGTTTCTTTCAGTTGTGTTCACTGTTATGGCCCAAGGCTTTCCTCTTGGCCTCTCTATCATGTCTGTGTTTCAGAGCTTCTAATTGGTGTTGATTGGAAGTGGAGGCCAGTGTCTCCAGAAGAGCTTCAGATCCAGCTCAAGATCCACCACTTGCTCTCATTTCTCCTCTCTCCCACTTCTTGACCTCTCTTCTCCAAACAACCATGATTTTTGTTAAATAAATGTAATTTTAAGTTATCCCATGTGTTGCTTCCCCTTTATTTGTTATGGTCCTAGAGCCAGGCCGTAACAAATTGGGGGCTCGTCTGGGATAGACATAGTTAGACATAACCAATCGAGACACGATCGGTAAATAAACTCTTAAAACATAAATTTTGAAGAGGTACCACTCTCTAAAGACATATATACATATATGTATATATAGACGTATATACAATCGTAGCCAGAAAAGTAACATCAAAGAAAATGTATTTAAATGTATTATCATTTTACTGCATAATTCTGTGACCTTTGAATGGCAAGACCAGAATAATCGATCATAGATCGCTAGATCAGCAATCACAGTGCATCTTATTTCCATGAATTTTACTTCAACTGAGGAATGAATTAAGGTGTTTTTTATTTCCATTTCCCACATATTACCATGAGCAAAAGACTATTACTTTTAGCCAAATAATACAAAACAATATTTTTCTTAATTTTTTTTCTGTCTTCTTTCCAACTGAAACTGTTTTATAACTACCACATTAACATCTCATGAAATATTTAAAATTATGTCTTAGCCTCATATTATTGAGATATTTTCTTTAAATTACGACTAGCCTATCATCGTAATGAGATTACTGTATATGTAAATGTTCTAAAATATCATCTCATTATCATGAGATACTATCTGTGAATTTAAAACTCAAAGTTATGAATTGGTTATATTGGATGCTAAAATGCTCATAGCTCATAGTATCTTATAATTTAACATGTCTATCTCAAAATTTTTACATATACGTCTCATTTCAAAATTATGGCTTAGCTATCTCATTATTTTAGGATAGTATCTAAATTACAATTACTGTATGAGATTCTGAAATTTGAATTGGTCAAAATTGCTACTTATGAGAAAATGTCGGGACATTATTGTAAAATTATGATTCAGTAATTGACAAATATTGAATGCCAAAATGCTAATATAAAACACTTCTTTACAATTATGAATTAGCATTTCACAGTAAAAGTAGCTCAAAATGTTTACATAGCATCTCATTTATGAGACTTTCTCGAAATAGGGTTTAGCATCGCGAGAGGTTAAAATGCTAATAATTATGAGACACTGCCTTAAAAGCACAACTTAGCTAAGTCATTATTTTAAGAAAGTATCTTGTAAAAATAAGAATAATTAGTAATTGACAGTTTTTTTTATGCTAAAATGCTACCATGCAATACTTCAAAATTACAAATTACAACATCTCATAATTATAAGTAATGATCTAAAAATTATGGTGTATAATTATGAGATGCTGTTTCAAAATTACAAGTTTGTCCTTTAAATCAACAAGATAGTTTTTTCAAAACTAGGACTTAGCATATTGTCATTATGGTAAACTCGTTCAAATTTTTTGCCTCTACTCAAAATTATGAAGCATATCTCAAAATTACAACAGAGAGCAGGATATTCAACTAAACTGCCCAGGAATCTTAATGAAGGCCACATGCTCAGGGGCCAAACATCCAGTAATTATTGCCATTATATAAATTTATTTTACAATTTCAAATTTAGTTTTCTAGACAGATTTAGTTGTACTTTATAGATATAAAAGGACTACCTCTTTGAAAAAAAAAATAGTGGTCATTCAAGAATTTTTTTTTTTAAAGAAAACTTTATTTATCAAAAAACAAGTACAAACAAGTATGGCAGTTCATAATAGTGTAAATCTATCTAAAAAGGGCATAGCTTAGATATGGGAACATCAAAAGCAAAACTGTTTAAAAGAATAATAAGATAAAATAAAAAAGTAAAATAAAATAAACTGGGGGGGGGGGGGTATATTTTAGGATTAGGATTAACATGCATTAGTAGGCAATTCATTTAACATTTCCTACAGGTCTCCATGTGTTTCAATATATTTCAGAGATTTCAAATATAATTGGAATTCAGATAAAAAAAATGGGTACGATTTTAGCACTCTCTGTTTATTAATAAAGCATTTTGCCAGACAAAATATCAAATTACAACCGAGTTCAATTTTTTTGTTTTTCAATAATTCTCAAAATGTTACTCTGGACATAGATTCAGGAAGTGTAATTTTCGGTGTGATCCACGATTCCAAATTATTTTGTTTTTGCTGCATTCATAGAAGATATGGGCTATTGTTTCTAAATCCTTTTCACAGAATGAGCATTTATTGTCATCAATATTAAAACGATAGTAGCTCTGGAGGGGTAAACTGCATTTAAAATTTTAACGTGTTTCTTTAGCCTTTGGTTGTATGGGGGGTTTTAAATATAGAGTTCTTAACATTTCAATTATTATTTTTTTTTTTTTTCTAATTTGAAAAGTGTATATTTTTTTTATGTTTTCTCTCACAAATTTTTTCATTTTTTATTTGAATCTGGTTTTGTTTTAAATGGTCATTGTTGGGCCGGATTGACATCACTCGCGGCCAAATGTGGCCCCGGGGCCACAACTTGAATAACCATAATTTACAGGATAATTATTTCCTTTTTCTATTATGAGAGGAAACGTGTTCCCACAAGGTCCCTCGCAGGTGCTTTTATTTTGTTTCCCCTTTTTGCGCTTGTGATGATCACGTGACCAGAAGCCCCGCCCCCTCCTCCATTAAAGCAGAGTAAAAGTCATCCCTGCTTCTTCCTCGCTTCAGTCCGTCTTCACAGAGGCAGACAGAGGAGCCCAGGCTGTAAACCGAAACCACCGGAGCTTGCGTGCCGTGCGTGTTGCGCGTGCAGGCGGCGCGCTGACGTGATAAATTAGTCAAATTAAAGCTGCCGGGAACCGGACGCTGCAGCGGATCGGGACGCTTCGTGTCTCCTCCGCAGAGGACGCGGTGAGGATATTAAAAGGAGCCAGGTGAGTCCACCTCTCTGTTTGTGTCTGCGGGGGGCGGGGGGGACACGCGTGTCTCCATTTTCCTTCGGCGGTGGTCGTGCGTCAGCGTTTTTTTTTTTTTTTCCCCCTCTGCTGCGTGGAGCGCGTGAAGGACGAGCCCACCAACAAACTCAGCCCAGTTTGGCATCCATTATTTACAACAGAGAAACACGGAGGCGCGCCCCCCCGCGCCTCAATAATAAATGTGATAATAATAATATATAAAAAATAAATAAATAAAAAAAAAACCGTCAGATTGAGTAGATTAGTGTTAAATCTGGGTCTTTAGGTGTCAGCGTGCTAAGCGCACGCGCTATGCTTGTGCATCCTGAGCTCTTGTCCAGTCGGCCTCTGCCTCTTGTTTTAGAGCTGGACTCGGATTTGGACCAAGTTTGTGGTTGAGCCGTGTTGTTTTGAGGAGCACGTCCTGATCATGATGTCTGTAATCATTTGCAGCCGTCATCACCCGCTGGGAGCACTGGGAGGTGTATGTTTAGTGACTGGTCGCTCTCATCTCCTTATGATTTAGTGAATTAACGCCTCCGTGCCCGCCCACCTTTTTCTTGACTCTCCCTCTTTTTCCCTTCCAGCTCTCACAGGCTGCTGCTGCTGCAGCGCCACAGAGGCGGCTCCGCTGCACGCTGGAAACCCAGAATTCAATTGGAGGAAACAGAAAGGTAGCCCCCTCTACTCCGCACCCCCCATCCACTGCAGGAAACTGAGAGAGAGGAGGAAGCAGCAGCAGAAAGGAGGCATGAGAGTCTTCACCCTAACTGCGCACTGATGCACCGCGGCTGCAAATGAGCAGAGACGACCAGGTCTGTTCCAGAACGGCGGCTGCGACGTTTTAAGGTGCGTTTTAAGGTGCTGCTCATCCTCGTCACTGATCCTCCAGAGAGCCCCGAGCTGACCTCACAACGTACAAGTGGGCGTGTGCAGGGCAGAGATGTAAACACGAGCCGGGCTGGATTTTAACGCACGCGCAACGTCCTCCTCCTCCTCCCGGGCCGTCCGAGATGGAGACGGAGAGGGTCGAGTCGGAGCAAGAGGGAGAGGCGGAGCCGCCCATGCACAGCGTGCACGGGACCAACCGCATCAGGCCGTCCTCCTACAGGGCTCTGCGCAGCGCCGTGTCCACGCTGGCCCGCCTGGACGACTTCAGCTGTGAGAAGATCGGAGCGGGGTTCTTCTCTGAGGTGTTCAAGGTGAGACTTGGAGGGGAGAGGGCGTGTGTTTTTATTGGGGCATCCTGGATGCTCGTGGCTTGTTCAGTTCCCCGTTAAGATAATATCTCTCTGGGTTGGGGCGGTAGTAACCAGACTGTTTATATAGGTAGACCTCGGGCTGGAATCCAGAAGTTGAAGCCAGAAAGGTCTTTCTCCATCCGTTGCCAAATAATGAACTCGTGGTCACGTGGTTGCAGGACATTGTTTTTACACAACCTTTTTTATAGTCCACGAGACATGATGCAGAGCTCCTGGAGAACTCGTCACTGCACAGGTTTCTTCTCGCCAGGGTCTCCACTCGTCCCTGCATCCCCTGTTTGACCACAAATCGATGATGAAGAAAGCGCCACACTTGGGCCCGTCGCGATAAACAATAAATCAATTAATCGCACGATAAATGAAAATTATCGACCTCATTTTCATTTATCGGATTTATCGTTTCTTCGTGTGTCTCTCTTTCTATTGAAGACACTGGTTGACAAAAAGCTCAACTCCGGTGCTCTTCACTGACCCCTCCCTTTCTCTTTTTAAAATCCATTTTAATCGTCCAAAATCGCGTTTTTGAATCGTTAAAAGCAGCTAAGCTGAGAAGTTAAGCTACGAGCTAAGCTAACAGGCCGACCTCGTGGGGGGAAAAAACCTCCGTCTTGTCAAAGCTCCAAAATTCACAGTTGAAACCCGTGCCTTGGTGTAGAAAGTTGTTTTTCTCTGCAAAAAGAAGCTGAGAACTTGTTTACTGATTTATTTATTTTTATTAAAAGCTTTGTGTGAAAAATGCTATGCTAAAGAGCTCAAACCACACAGTGTCAGCCCATGTTACGTCAAGCGTCTTCCCTCCCATTTTTCTTAAAGAGACACGCTACTCAACTATCCATCCTTCGGTTCAAACAGTCTTATACTGCCATCTGGTGGTAAAAAATATTCTACATGCAAAATAAATCTACATTTCTTCTAAAATTTGACAATTACTAATTATTGTTAAATTTCAAGCAATATTATCATTTATCGCAATAATTTTTGAGACGATAATCGCCCGGCAAAATTTGTTATCGTGACAGGCCTAGCCACACTTTCCAGCAGACGGACTCCTTCATACATAATGGCTGCATGATCTCCATACAGGAGGTTTTGGCCATTTCACAAATTTAGTGTGTTTGAAGAGTCGTGCAGCTGAATGTCCGAGCGCATTTCCGCATTGACAAACACGCCCACAAACTTCTGACCAATCACGCAATACTTGGCGCGTACGCCTGAGAGGAAAAGTTTGTCCCGGGCCTTGTCGAGAACGGGTTGACGAAGCTTCTCTGTGAATAAAATGACGTGATTTCATCACGTAACTGTGACAGTGAGAAACAAATTTAGCACTTTGGATAGAGTATGTCAGGCCCTTAACGTTTCGTTTAGCAAATTAATGTTTTTGCTAACTTTGAAAACCTTTAGCGGAATTGGCTTCCGCTAAATTTAAATCCAGAAAATTCAAGTCCGCTAATTTTTTTATAGACGGTTCTCTACACTAAAAGCACTCAAGAGAATAAAAATGAAAATAACATGAAAAACCCATTGCCACACTCAGAAACATCGTAAACAGTCAAACAGTGCACACATACTTCCTACCCAGCATGCTTTGCAACACTCACACTGTCTCTGGGGTGTGACTCTCTCACACATCTTTATTTTAATACTATCAGATTTATTACCGAGAGGACATTGATTATATTGACAGCAACTTTTGTAGTTAGTTTATAAAAGTAGTTAACCATGAAGAGGATCGCCAAAGTGAATTAATTAATTTTAGTAAATGACACGAGGGAGACGCCTAACATACGCTGAATGCATCACTCTGTTTCAGCACAGCAGAGTTCTCCGCTTTTTTGGTTCTGGTGGACCGGATTAATTTCTGAAAGCTCACCCCTGAGTGGCACATGGATTCTTTACTTATGGTTTATGAACCGTTTTCAGTTGTGTTCACCTACAGCGTTGTCACATTAGTTTTACAGTGTCCGCGACAGCAATGTATTATAAAAGTTAGCCATTTAACGTTAGCTTCTGCTAATTAAAAAAAATAATAATAAAATCGGTTTAGCGGTTTAGAGTTAGCAAAGCTAATTTTTTAATTGGCGAATTATCGGTTAGTGAAGCTAACTTTTTGGTTAGCTGTGCTGCTTTCCTGTTGTCTGGTTGCAGGACAAGTTTTAAGTCCAGCCCCCTCCAAGTAAACAAACAGCGCATTGTGTCTTATCAGTAGTTTTCTCTTTCCAACTGTATGTTCAAATACTTCCTTTTAACACGTTTATCTATATTTAGTTGAATTAAATGTATGATGCATCGTTTTTCAAAATATGATGAATTTCCTCAATTTGGCAATTTTCTTCAATAAACTATGAAGTTGCTGTGCATCATCAAAGATCTTCCCTCGGCATAAAATCTTTGCTGTTTAATCCTGCGCCTGAGTGGGCGCACAGACTGTATGTCATCACATTCATCACATGTCAACCGTTTTGCCTCTGTTACTACCTCGCTTTGTGGCACAAAGTAGCATCAGTTAGCTTCAACCCTCGGTCCATTCAAAAAAATCACACAAAAGTTACCAGAAGGCGTCCGAAGTCCCTGCTTGTGGTTCCAAAAATACAACATGGCAACAACGAGAGAAGGTGGGACTGTTGCGCCCTCCCCCAAAAAGGTGATGCTGGTCCCCCCCTTTGGATGAAAACAAACAAAAAAAAGTTTTCAGCCTCTCTCCCCCTCCTCAAGTCTAAACATAGTGAATCAAGTTAATCTAGCTGGGGGGACATTTTGATTAAACTCTATAAAGTCTTGATTTACACACTTATCAAATTTAAATCCTTGTCAAAGCTGAAACACTTTTTGTGACGTGTAGAAATAAAGAAATAAGACATTTTAAAGAAATGCAATTTTTAGATTAAAGAATTTCAAAGAAATGAAAATGGCGTGTAATGGCCCTGCAGCTTTGCAGAGGTCTGGCTCTGGTCTGCTTTTACTGACGGGCTCGATCATTATCCAGAACTGACGCGTGCTCAATTCTCTTGCGGTCACATGAGTTGTTGACATCCTGTCATCTCAACTGTAGCTTTCACAAGCTATCAAAGAAGTGGTCTCCATGGCAACTGTTGCGAAGTAGTCAAAAACACTTGGAAAGAAAATAAAAAAAACAAGGCTCGATGCTAAATATTCAAAGAAGGAAGTGGCTTTATTTTGGAGGAGTAACGTTTTTTTTAGGGTGAGCATGAGGTGTAAGTTGATCCAGGTAGATCAGGTGAATGTGTGGGTAACCCAATGCTCACCTCTGTTTGACACGCTGCTGCTGCTCACTCTGCATGCAGCCTGATTGCAGAGAACAGTTTATTAATGACGGAGGCAACTCATAACGAAGAACGACTGAACCCGGAGCAGATTAGGTGATGAGAAATAAAAAACTTTAAAAAAAGTTCTTTAAAAAAAAACGTAAACTTTAGAACACTTTTTTTATTTTTTTATTTCATGCACAGTTTGGCTGAGGATCACATTGAATAAAAACCTAAAAATGTTTTATCCTGAGCTGGAAAGTAGCGATTCAGATGGGGCTCTGTAGAAAGGTATCAACAAATGATATCTTACCTGTTGTAGATGGCCCTTTAAGACTCCGTCTGGAGGAATTAAGTTATTTTTTTTACTGGATAACAGGCTAACTACTAGTCTGACAATTCCAATATCAAATATTACAAAGATTCATTTAAAATCAATTTATAAACTTTTAAATTTCTGTCAATGTACCGGTACTTTACTTTATTTCCATTGTATTCTAAGGTAAATTGTAGGCACATATAGCAGCAGCTGGTTGCAAATGGTGGCATTTCTAGCAGCGATATTAAATCTTTTTCTAAATAACATTCTAGTATGTAATGGTTAGTGGTGCAAATATTTATAAAATAGCATTTGCATAAACTGCTATAAAACCTTTAGAGATTTGCAGTAGTTTATAAAATGGCAGCAGTTCACTTTAGTCTTGGCCCCTCTCATACAAGCTGTTAGCTAATTAGTCCGATCAGATTTAACCTGAGGTCGTTCAAAGAACTTTTTAATAACGGGTAGATTATTAATTATTTATAGTTTTTTTTTTTTTTTTTTTTTTAAGATTTGAAATATTTATAAATGGTTTTGTGGTAACACCTCTTCTATTAAAAAAAAAAATAATAAAAAGTCCTCAAACTATTTCTTGCAGTCGTTTGAGATACTGATTTATCTAAAACAACATGCAGCATTGTACTGTGCTCCAATGTGGTTTGAGCTTTTGACTTAAACTTGACATTTTATTGGAGAAACATTTGCTTATTAATAACTGATATGTTGCTGGTCTGTAACTCATACTACAAACATTCAGTACAGTCTGAACATGTTGCTGTGTATGAGAGGCCCAAAAGGACTAAATTCATCACAGGACATAGGTTTGTTCTCCAGAAGATGCACTGTGCGTTGAGTAAACCATTTAGGGCTTTTGATAACCTATAATTGTAACTTGCTACAGTTTATTTTATCTATTTAAGCAGATAAAACATCAGCTTTTTATCATACTGGGTCTGTTTCGAATTGAACTCAAGTTTCACTACAATGTTGTTGTTTCTCATGTGATGATCAGAGGAGAAAATCTGTCCAGAGCTTTGCAGGAAGTTTAGAGTTTAAAGGTTTGTCTTCAGAAATACAGATTTGTTTTATTGTTCGTATTAGAAAGCTTTCTTAGCAACTCGCATGAACACAGATCCTACATTTTATTTCTATCGAAACACATTTGCTTTATTAATGGTCTAAATATACTATATATAGAGAGATATGATTTTTTTTTTTTTTTTGTACCTCCTCCTTCCTTGTGCCTCCTTTTCTTTATCTAACAAAAAAAGGCAGCTCCTCTCATGAGGCTGCAGCCTCAGGCACCCGTCTACCCACGTCTATGTTGTTTGGTTGTCATTTCTTTGGACGGGCTGTAC